ATGTGTATTTCTCATAATGTTATTCATAAGTCTTGTTAACTCGGTAGACGTTATAATCTACCGACATCCACAAATAAAGATATAGATCAAGTATCGTGTGGTTTAGGTAAAACTAGGCTCAAGGAAAGTATTACCAAACTGTACAAACTAATTAGAACCAAACCTAAGCTTAGACTATCTCTCTCTGAACTATTGAATGATGTGGATTTCATTAAGTTACAGAACATGGCTGACGGGTAAGGAAAAGCGATTGACAGAATTACCCATTGGATATATGATAAGAAGCCCTGGAATTTAGGAATTAGAATAAGGTCGAGAAATCTTGCACCTAAGAAAAATCTTAATAACCATGTTTGTAACAAAGTGGGGAAGGATAAGGTAATCAATTTATCTAGTACAACTCTAGAGGATAGTGTAGTACTTGAATTGGAAAAAAAGACTGAATTTTGCTCTTATAAATAAGATAAACCATTCTCTGGAAATATTAGTTGAATTAATTAACTTAGTGGATAGATTACCTGAAGAGGTAAGGAATAGTATTGAACTGGTGATTCCTCATTTTGACCATATAATACCACCTAAGAAAAATTGTTATGATAGAAAAATTTCTAGATATCTGCGTAATAATAATCTAAACATAACGAAAGCCGACAAGGTGGAGCAGTGATAGTCATGGATAAATCAAGTTATGTAGAAAAGATCCTAGTACATTTAAATGATAATGACACATATAGACCTTTATTGAGAGACCCAACCGAAAGACTTAAGACTAGGCTAAAAGATGCCCTTAAGGTATGCGTAAGTAATTGTGAAATATAGAAGTGGAAAATGAATTCACTACTCCAGAGAGATGCAAGGGCCCCCACGGCTTATTGTCCATCTAAGGTTCACAAAGAGGGTGCCGCTCTAAGATTAATAGTAAATAATAAAGGAAGCGTGATGCATAAAATCTCACGGTTTTTATGCATGCAAATAAGGAGCTCTGCCAATTATTGGCTATGTTCAGTTAAAAATTCGTATGATTTTGTGAAATTACTAGATCAGCAGACAATTTCAGAAGAGGATAAGCTA